AAGGCCTCGCTAAAGAGCGACTTCCCAATCGAGCCTTAAAGGAGCAGGGATGGCCGTTCCAGCAGCGAACAGCATGCATGACGGCCCGGGGAGGGCAAGCATCTTGGAGCCTTCTCGAAAGGGAATGGAGGCCGGTGTGGGAAGGAGACGGCTGGGAGAGGGGCCAGCGAAGCCAGCGGGACCTTCAGCGCTGCAGAGGGAGCAGGGCTGGGAGTGTGGACTCCAAGTGCAGGGCGAGCAGCTGGTGGGTCCCAGCAGGGAAGGGTGTGATCGGGTGCGCCTCAGGGGCTCACTCTGGGTGGCAGCCCTGCAGAGGATGGGCCGTGCCAGGCCTGCGTAGGCCCGAGGCTCTAGGGATGAGGAAATATAGCCTGGAGCTCCAGGGGCAGAGGAAGACAGAAACATAAACCAACCTCCACAGTCTAGTATGACAGAGGGGCCCGTGAGCACTAACTCTGTTGGGGAAACCAGGGGGGGCTTCCTGAAGGAGGTGGCATTTGAGCGGGCTTGAGGGATGGCGGGCGTGGTAGAGGCCAGCACTCCAGGCCCAGGGAATCACTTGGGTGCGTGGGTTTGTTTTGATGAGGCCGAGGAGGAGGAGTGACTCCCCAAGGTCACAAGGGCCCGTGGGGGCTAAGCCAGCCCTGAGACCCTGTCTCTGACGGAGTGGGGCTCTCTGATGCCCACCTGAGGCCTGGCAGCAAGAACTGGCCTCGAGGAAGTTCCCAAAGGCCCCAAATCAGTGGCCTCCTGGAAACCTGGCATCTGGGGGTGTGTGTTTCCCCAAATCAGCGCAGCTGGGAGGTGGGGAAGAGGAAGCATGGGCCACTGGCCAGACCCACAGGCCTGAAGGAGGGGCCTGTGCTAGCGCTGAGAGACGCGGGGGTGGGGCCTCCCCACGGGCGGCTCCCTGGGACTCCTGGGACCACAGCCCAGATGCAGGGTGGCTGGAGGGAAGTGAAAGGCGAACTCAGTCTGGGCCTGGCTGGGCGAGACCCTCCGTCTCCCACTCTCCTGGACCCCTGACGGCCATGGCCGTGGCCCAGCAGCTGCGGGCTGAGAGGTGAGTGCAGGGTGCAGCCCTCACTGGGCCTCCTCACTGTTCCCAGCAGGCCCGGGGACAGAGGTCGGCTTCCTGCGGCCCCTTAATAATAGCAAAAGCTGAGAGGCGGAGTTGAGTCAGAACCTAAATACTCAGAAATGTAGAGTCTTGGAACTATTTTAAGGAAACTGGGCTGTGGTTTCACCTCCCTCAAGCACAGATGAGGACTTGAGGCTCAGAGATGAGCAGTGACTTCCCCAGAGCCACATGGGAGTGGGTGGCAGGGTCCGGATGGGGACTCAGGTGATCTGTCTCCCAGGCTGGGCTGGCTCACTGCTCCACACTGTGGTCGGGAATGGCTTTTCATCTTTTATTCAAACAGGGCTTGGCTCAAATGTCACCTCCTCCCAGAAGCCTTCCCTGACTGCCCCATCACTGTTCTTTGACCCCTTGCCCTGCTTTCTTTTTCTGTACTGTCTTCATATTACTCCAATGCTATTCGAACTCATTTGTTTCCTTGACCACTGGCTCCCCCTTTAGAAGCGAGTTTGACGAGGGTGCGGTATTTGTCTCTTTTGGTCACTGCTGTATCCCTAGAAAGTAGAACAATGCTGGTACCAGCTATGCTGAATGAATGAATGGATGAATGAATGAGTGGACCTTTGAGTTGGAAAATGTTCTCAGGTCCTTCTGGTCCAGTCCTGTCATTGTACAGATGAGAAAACGGAGGCTCAAGGAGGATAGAGAACTTACTTGGGGCACAGGGAGTCAGTGGCAAGGCCTGGGCTTGGAGCACAGCCTCGCCAGCGCTTGGGTTCACCTATAGCAGCATTTTCTGAATGTTCCCAGCCTGTGATCCAAACTATGGGGGATCTGAGGACCCTGGGCTTGGCTCCTGTCCTCCTGGAACAGCAGGTGACATCAGAAAAAAAGCCTGCAGACTCGGAGGAGGTGACTCCAAGGGCTGCTGGAGATGCGCCCGGATGGTGTGGGCTGCAGTGGGCAGCAAAGGGCCGTGGGGGCATCAGGCCGGAAATGGAACCTGGGGGGGGGGGTGTCTCCGGGTTTGGATGGTGGGAGGAAGGCTTGTCTGCTGTGTGCCGAGGGCGGGGCAGGAGAGTCCGGTGTTTACAGGGCGATCAACAACGGCCTTGGTGAGCCACAGAGCTGGTCTGGGCGCTGGGGTGAGGTCACCCCCCAGACCCCAGCCCCTCTTCCCCACAAGTTCTCCTTGGAGACTGGGCCTGACACGCACACTCGAGCCTTCAGGAAACAGCTGCTGTCGGAGGCGGTGGCACTTCCCATTCCTCAGGGTACGTGGGTCAGAGACATGGCTCCCTGCCCTGTTCAGCTGCCCGCGGTCCTCCGAGAGGATGGTGCCGCCCCAGCCCCGGAGCCACTGGCTTCGGGCCTTGTTTGAGAGTGGGACCCGCGGGCGTTCTGCTTGAGGGCAAGGCAGAGGGTCCAATGGGCGGGCGAAGGGCCCCCCAGCGGGACTCTCTAAGACCCGAATGGAAAGGGCTAAGCGAGGGCAGTGAGTTTAGTTCCAACAAATGTGTTTTGAGCACCTACTGTGTGCAGGAACCACAAAACTTAAACTGGCTGCCGCTCAAGGGTCTTTCCAACCTTCGGCCTCACCTGTCCAGGCTCCCGAGTGGACTTTGCATGAACAGCAGCACGCGTGTGTATGAGCCCTGAGCATCCTGGGCCGAGGGGGCTCTCACTTGACTTCAGTTCTGAGGGGTCCTGGCTGAGGTCTCCAGGGGAATGGTTATTTTAGGGGCACATCCAGTTGGGGTTGCTGCACCCCCGCCCCCCACCCTGGCAGCTTCCTGGCTCTGCTCAGCAGGCAGCCAGACCATCCCCACCCCGCCCACCGGAGGACTTGCTCAAGCACAGACACAGATAGTGGCCCTTGTTGAGCACCTACTGTGCGCCCACTGCAGTTCTGAGCGCTAGGGATGCAGAGTGGGCAAGGTCCCTGCTCTCATGGGGGTTCTCTAGTGGGGCCTCCTGACCCTCCTGTGATGTATGTGCACTTATGATCCCCATTTTACAGAGGGGGGAGGAGCCAGAGCACAGAGAGGAGTCCTAGGGTACTGGGGGTTCGGGTCTCCCTCTTCTGTCTGTGCCCTCCTGCCCTGGGTATACACAGATGGGCTGATGCCCTCCCGTCATGGCGTCTCCTTCACCCCCACCACCCGGGGCAAGACACACGGGCCCTTCGGCAGTGGGCCCTGCCGGCCGCACCGGCGAACTCTCTCATTGCTTCTCCCGCCAGCTCTGTGCTCAGATGCACTCAGGAGACCCCCCCCCCTCCCCCCGCTCCCCGCACTGCGGATCCTTGAACTTGCCCGCTCACAGGGCGAGGGCCTTTGACACTCAGTGTTCCCCCTGCCTGCCACCCTGAGGTCAGTTTCTCTTTCTTTTCCTGCTGGGCAAGGAGGCTTCCGGGAAGAATTCCTCCTTAGCCCCGCTCAGGCCCATGGGCCCTCATCTTTGCACTGAGCCCTGTTTTTCTCCTGATGGGCAGGACCCCCCTCCTAGAAGCAGCTGCTTGCCGGCCGCACACTGACTCTCTGAGGGACGGACTAACAGCCAGGCTCCTGCTGCACCTCTGCCCATGGGGTTCTGTCATTGTGAGACCCAGGCAGGCAGAGGCCGGTCCATGTGCTCAGAACCCTCCGAGTACGGGGGGCGCCTCCAGGGGTTGGCTCCTATTATTACTTCAGATGGGGAGCCTGAGGCTGGGCAGGGCTGGGATTGATCTGAGTTCATCTTCAAACCAGGGACAGCCCTGCCTCCTGGGCAAGCTTGTCAGCCTCTCTGTGCCTCAGTTTCCTTGTCTGTAGCAGGAGGACCCCGTCTTAGAAGAGCGCCTGGAGGGGGCTCAGGAAATAGTCAGCCGTGGTTACGCTTGCCCAACCTGCCCAATTCCCTGCTCGCGGCCGTTTTCACCCCTCCGGTTCCTTCCTGCCCACCCCCGGCCACTGCGATGAAATACCCACGAGAGGCACAGCCTCAGGGGAGCGTGCGGAGGAGGAAGTTTCTCCCAAGGGTGTCACCACAGGGCATGTGTGGAAAGTGAGTGGGGAGGCTGCCAGTGGCCACAAGTGGCTCTGGGAGTGGAGGGGATTTCCTCTGCCCGCCCACTGCCCCCCTGAGACACCCCCCCACTCCCGCCCCATGGCAGCCCTCCTGCGTCCCCGTCCTGAGGTAGCCTGAGATGCCAAGCAGCCCAGGCGCCTGGGAACCAGCAGCGGCTGGGCCTGGGTGTGCAGACTTTGAAATCGTTTCTCCTGAAGTCCTGGTCAGCTCTGAGGCTTCGGAAGGTGCAGCCCCTGCCCCCGCTCCTCCCCTGTTTCCCAATTGCTACCACAGCAGAGTCACAATTGCTTCGAGTTTCCTCATCTGTCCACGCCTCTGCTGGCTGGCTGCTCCCCCTCCCCCTGTTCCTCTCAGCCCGCCCCCCCTGCGCACTGCTCTTCGCTGAGGGTCTTAGCCACAGTCGCCGAGGTCCTCACCTCTCCCTCTGCAGCTGAGAGGCCCCCAGCCCAGCTCCAGAGCCACACACCAGCTCTCGCTGGACCCTGAGCTGGGTGCCCAAGAGGCCTCTCAAATGAGCATGCCCGAAACGGAGTCCATCAACGCTGCTCCCCTCCCACCATCCTGGTCAGGATATGGGTGACATGTGGGTGTCACCCTTGACACTGCTGTTTCTTTCATCTCCACGTGCAAACAGTCCCCAAGCCCTGCTGGTCACAACTCAGGAATGATGGGCAAATGGGTGGTGTGTCCACTGGAAATGCAGAAGGCTGCAGGAACAGAGAAACGGGTAGCAGCTGAAACAAACGGGGGGCTACTTATTTATTTCTTTAATAACAAGAAGCACAGAGGTTCGCAGCTGGTTCTGCGGCTCAGTGACTCCAGGACCAGCATCTCCGAGATCCTGTTGGCATCCCTCATGTTTTTGCCTCGTGGATGCAATGTAGCTGCTGCAGGTCCCGATGTCACAGCTGCCTTCGAGGCAGGCCGGAGGGAGAAAGGAGGAGACCATGCCGGCCTCGCTCCTCTCTCTCGGTCAGGAAAGCAAACACTCTCCAACAGGCCCCTGCCACAGAGTCCCTCTGAGGTCTCATTGGCCAAAACTCGTCACAGGGCTGCTCCTAGCTGCAAGAGAGTCTGGGAGACAGCAATGGGATCTGTACGTTTGGCTCAGCCCAATCATGACCTGTCACCTTGGAGCTGGGCACATCGCCACCTTGGACAAAACTGGAACCTGGTCAGTGGTGAGGAACAAGGGACACAACAAATGAAACCGTGTCTGTCGGCCAAGAGTGGTATCTCCTGTTTCTGTCCTCCCCTCCTGTCCCCGCTGTCACATCACCTCCCAGTCAGGGCACTTCAGAGCCTCCCAGTGGTGCCCTGTCCCTTCCAGTCTCTGATCTCCTGTCTCCTCCACACGGCTGCCTGAGTCGGCCTCCTAAAGCCAGATCGTACGGTTTTCACTCTCTTCCGAAGCCGTGCTGGCTCCCTATCGCCTGTGGAACTCCCTCAGCTCGGCACTGGAGACCCTCCTCGGCCTGGCCTCAGCTGCCTGCTCAGCCCTGCTGACATCGGTCTCCAGCCACAGTTGACCTGGGCCCAATCCTCAGGCCTCAGAACCTTAGCATATGCTGTTCCCTCTGCCTGGTGGATTCCAGGTCTGTGTAGCCCTAGCTCAGATGTCCGCTCCTCTGTGACATTTCCCCAACCTGGGCATAACAAGCCCTTCTCTCTCTGGGGCATGTGCTCCTCTGCTCACCGCTGTGACCCGGGGCCGAGAACAGGGTCGGATACGGGAGGTGCTTGATGGGCTGGTCCTGGGCGGGTCAGGTAACTGCAAAGTGAATTGTTAGATTTTAACTCGGCCGTGGGTACATGTCCCTTCTCCAGAGGCCCTCACCCCCAAGGTCTGGTCTGCGTGGTGGCTCGGCCGGAAAGGGGTGTCGTGGGGCCTGGCCCGGGAGGGGGTGCCGTGGGGCCTGGCCCGGGAGGGGGTGCCATGGGGCCTGGCTGGGAGGGGTACCGTGGTGGCTCGGCCCGGAAAGGGGTGTCCTGGGGCCTGGCTGGAGGGGGGTGTCGTGGGGCCTGGCCGGAGAGGGGTGTTGTGGGTCCTGGCCTGGGAAGGGGTGCCGTGGGCCCTGGCTGGGAGGGAGTGTCGTGGGGCCTGGCCCGGGAGGGGTGCCGTTGGGCCTGGCCCAGGAGGGGGTGTTGTGGGGCCTGGCTGGGAAGGGGTGTTGTGGGTCCTGGCCTGGGAAGGGGTGCTGTGGGGCCTGGCCCGGGAGGGGGTGTCATGGGGCCTGGCTGGGAGGGGGTGTCGTGGGGCCCGGCCCGAAGTGGGTGCCATTGGGCCTGGCCCGGGAGGGGGTGCCCTGGGGCCTGGCTGGGAGGGGTGCTGTGGTGGCCCGGCCGGGAACGGGTGTTGAGCGAGGAGTGCGGACTCACCGGGCTCGCTTTGCCCGCTGCCTCACACCCAGTGGCCCCTGAACAGATCGGGCCGCTGACAGGTTCCTTTTCCTCCTCAGCGACTTCGAGCAGCTTCCCGACGACGTGGCCATCTCAGCCAACATCGCTGACATCGAGGAGAAGAGGGGCTTCACCAGCCACTTTGTAAGAGAGACCCCTGGACCCTCACCCTCTGCCCTCTGACCTCTGCCCTCTGAACCTTAACTCTCCCGTCTCTTACCTTCCACCCAGCGGTCCTCGGCAGGGCGGTTCTGCCCTCAGGGGGCATGTGGCAGTCGGCACCCTCAGGCATTTTTATTGTTACCACGTGGGGTGGGGGCGCTACTGGCACCCAGGGGTGGAAGCCAGGATGCTGCCCCACACGCCGCCGTGCACAGGACAGCCCACGACCCAGAATCATTTGGCCCAAATGGCCTCCTGAGGTCGAGAAACCCTGCTGTAACCCTGGGAGCCCGGAGCCGCCCCCTCCCCTGCCCCTGGCCTCCGAGGTCCTACCCCCTGGCCTCTGTCCTAGGTTTTCGTCATCGAGGTGAAGACGAAAGGGGGATCCAAGTACCTCATCTACCGCCGCTACCGCCAGTTCCACACCTTGCAGAGCAAGCTGGAGGAGCGGTACGGGCCCGAGAGCAAGACCAGCCCCCTCAGCTGCAACCTGCCCGCCCTCCCAGGTAGGCCGGCCGCTCCCAGGCCTGCTGCGGGCAGAGCTGGCCCCTGGCCGAGGACAAAGCCATGTCCACCTGCCCCCTCCCAGCTCTGCGGACACTGCTCGGTGTCCTGTGCTGGCCCATGTGGAAGCAGGCACTGATCCACGCCCTCCCCTGGCAGCACGGCTGCCCTCTGGCTCCAGCCTCAGAGCCCTTGACTTCTATGCACTGAGGACCTTCACGCTTCAGTCTCCCCCTCCCCCCCGTCACCCCCCACCTACCCCCAGCGGCCGTGCCATGGTGTGGAATGCATGGGTCAGGCCTTGTGTGTCTCCCTCGTTAAACACGCAGACTCATCTTGCAGCCCTCGCTCTGGCCCCTCCATGAGAACTGCCTCCTGCCTGCGAAGTCCAGGCTCCCCCGGGACCCACGGAGCCCCCTCCTTCGCTGCTCTGCTGAGAGGCTGTGGGCAGCACGGCTCTGCTTCTGGACAGCCCCTCGCCCCTCTCCCCCTGGCCTTCCTCCCCACCCCGAGCCTAACTTGCACCTTGGACGGACCCAAACCTCCGACTTCTCAGTTCCTGTCCCGTTGAGCACTGCAAGAGAAATCCCCACCCACGTGGTCCTGGGGACCCTGCACGCCCTGCAGGCCACACATAGCATCTCTCCCCAAAGACAGAGCCCTTCGGGCCCTTTCCTTGTTCAGTGCAAACCCACCCCTACTGGCTCCTGCTTCCTCTCTGTCTACAAATGCCCGCAG